AGTATATTCCTATTATCTATAATATGGTTGTTAGATAAGAATATTAATAAATCATATTAGACGGATCTTTTTTTTTTATATTTTTCATATAAATGATCGATAAAAAATGATCGACACTATTATGAAGAGCAATTAGACCCTGTAAATAATGACATTTTACTTGACTGTTATATAATCAAATAACCTTATAATACATGTAATTTCTTTTGCGCTACAGTAGTAAATTTCAAATCAACAGTCACGACTCTGATCCTCTTGACAATAATTAAACGGGGCATGTATTCCAATAGAGCTTGGCTCGAAATGAAGAGCACTATATATGTCGAATACTACGGCTAGTCCTGTTAGCCCGCAGTTGTTAGTATAGGATAAGCAATGCGATTTTTTATAATAATAAATGCAAGATAGGATAATTCTGTAGCAGTACTGTGACAATAAGTTTATTTTACAATGCTTTGATTAACTGTACATGCAGTATTTTGGTACGATTACAAGCTAGAAATTCCAAACAAGCCCTACACCTGAAATATAATTAAATCCCTTTAAAAGCTCAAACTCAAATATTCTTATACTGCTCATTATGAACCTATAATATCCTTGATCTGATAAAAATCTGGAATATTGCGCACATAATGAATTTGTTCATGCAGTGTGGTTGGCATCCTTCGATTTTTATAATCTTTCGAAAGTTTAGTTACACACCCCTGTAAATGCATAAATATTATAAATATTTCAATAAATTTTAAAATAGTAAATAGTGATATACATATAACATATGGCATATACAGTACCTCTAAGGCTACAAAATGAGCAAAATTTGACTCGATCAAGGATAAGCTAGGTTCATCTATCACCAATTTCGATTTAAGGAACGCCCATAATCGGTATATCCCATCGTATTGTAAGTCCATGATATATGTTTGGATGATATCGCCTGTAATTTTCAATAAATAATTTAGTAGATAATAAAGAGATAAGTTGTTGGTTTCATGACAATGAACTAAGAACAAACCACAATTAAGAAATATTGCCGATTCTCTTAGGCCACCTTTTGAGGACAAAAATTGATTTATGATCTTTCCTGCCTGTAGATGGGACTTTACAATATCCTTTTTTTATTTTAAAGGGTTACACCTTAACGGCTTTATTTCTGAATTTAACACAGAGGTCCCATCCACGGTGTAGAAAAGATCTGGTCTCAGTTTGGTTCCTTTTACTGAGCGATCCAACCGTACTTCGTAATCTTTATTTCTTCTTAAGAATATCAGATTTATAAATGGATGGAGGAACCGAAAGCAATGTTTTTGCTCAGACATAGTCTTAGGCACGATATTGGGCACATTTTCTCGTCTTAATATGTCAAAAAAAAAATTTGTTAAATGAATTATTCTATTACTGTAAATTAATGAAAATTTACAGCTTATTGAAAGTTCTTGAGGAAGCTCTACTCAGCAGAGTTTCATCCAGATGCATGTAACTATATAGGCGTATTTGGGGGTTCTGGGACAAAATTTGAATAGGTATAAAATAGTGTGTAGCATCCTCCTGGCTACTTTCCTGATATACAAAATTTTGAATTCTTTATTAAACCCCAAATTAGCCTACAATACCAGAAAACATATCA